CTTGCCAACTTTGTCGGTAGGCTGTTTGAAGTTTGCGCAAAGCCCAACGCGAGCTGCTTCATTTCTGATGGGGACAATGGTAGAGGCGCTTGCAAAGTGCTCGCGTCCTCCGACAAGATCAGTGCCGTTGTCAGTGACACGCTCATGGAAAGGTCAACGCTGCGTTGAAGCGTTGCAAGAGTGCCAGGACTGTGTTTGAGGGCATCTGATTGTGGCCTAAACGAAGTATCGATTGTCAACAGCAGCCTAGGACGAAACTTGCACTTTCAGCAAGACTTTAGACATTTCCAACAAGAAGGTGTTGACACAATGCTCCTTGGAAATTGAACGTGAGCAGATGAGCAGTTGAAATGACTGGATGACGGTTGAATGAAATTGGACATTGGATTTTGGGATGGTGGCCATCAGTTGGACGGAATTGCCTAAACCTAGTCGCCCATAGTGGTGGTGGTAATTTCAACTGAGTGCTGCGATTGATATTGACGACTTCTTTGTGCAGGGAGGAGAAGCAGAGCAAAACATCACACACAGCGTGCGATAAGGGTTCCAGTACCAAAGAAGCAATTCACGCAACGCAAGCAACCTTTGGAGCATGTTGCTGCTCTAAGATGCCTTTTTATGCTATGCAACTAAACAGAGCTCCAGCTCAAGCACATTGTGTACTTCCCTCTCAAGCCTGGCGAAGTATAGTATATAGCTCCAATCAACACAAACAATTTCCGAGCAGCTTACTTTCCCTACCCGCTGCAAGGCAAGCCAAGCACAAGGCATGCTACTTGAACGTTCAGTCAACCAGTAATCAATGTACAGCGGCGGAGACTTGTTTGAACATGTGTGTCTCCCAAGAAGGGCAATCAAACCATGAAGAGGGTTCATACGTCAGGTCACTTCTCTTGTGGTGTGTGCTTGGTTTGCATTCGAAAAGAAGGTCACTTGACAACAGCTCAAGGGCTGCCGGTTCCTTGGAATCGGATGCGACTTCCTTAGCCCAGGCTTCGGCTTCTGGAAGATTAACACGGAGGATGCTGCGACCCCAGGTCTTTGCGGAGGAGATGTGGTGAACCCAACCCGGAAGGTCTATCCCCACACCAGATTTAATCTACTGTACAAAGCCCTGTTTGGTTTCATCCTGCACCATGTTTTTTTGCGTCAAACGTACCAGTCAGATGCACAGGGAGCTGTGCCGTTTCACCCCAAAGTCCCTGATTTCGAGGCTGTGGGCTCTGCGCGGGGCTCCCCAAGCAGTCAACCTCCTCAAGGCCATGTCCGGCCGAGAGGGACCCTGCCAGTGGGTTCGTTTAACCTGGGCATCGAACTGTTTTGGAGCCTCCAAAGAAATGCGCGCAGGAAGAAGAGATCCTGCAGGGTCGCAACGCACCAAACCTTTCACTGAAAAGTGGGTTGCGACCCAAGCAGAGGGGTCGCAGTCTACTCTCAAATTCGCTGATTGTTGCTCTCGTGAGCTAGGGCTCAATGGCTGTAATGTTGAAATGCTTGAATCAATTCTGAAGCTCCAAGCATGGAAGGAACTTGGGGGTTCTCATCGATTGGAGCTTGATTGCAAGTCATGGACTGAGGCATGATCACCCCCCTGATTGAAAGCGTTTGTGTCTATGCTGCTCACTCATAAGGAATACGCATATGTGAACACCTGTTCCGGCATGTCCTGTGAGTTTGCGGCCGCTTGTTCGCTTGCCGTTGCAGGCCAAGGGATCTTGTTGTGTTTGTGAATTCAAGTGGTTTGCGTTTGCGACGCCACCGTTTACCTTGACATGTGCGGCGTTGTTCTCATAGGATATCCAGAAAGATGCAGCCAACGAAGTGTGGCATCTCACTAACACAGCATGTGGTACTGAGAAGTTTCAAGCAAGAGCGTTTTGGCCAAAGAGGAATTGAAAGCAGGGACTGAACATAATCATGCAAGTTATCCATCTCTGATGATATGAGCACGCCGCATTGAAGGGGAGTACATGGCAATGCAAGTAGCCAACTGTACTCAAGCGGTTGCACTCCAGTCCTGCTGGAATGCAGCACTTGTCATACGAAGTTGAGTTTATTGCAAGAGTAGGCTGCGAAACCTTTGCAGAATCTCAGGGATCGCAGTCACCGATAAGCCCATTCCATCAATCCAGAGTCAGCCAGATTGAGAAGAGGAAGCCAACCAAAAAGCTAGCGGACACAGATCAATCCGGTTCGAAAGGGCTAGCTGGGATGCGGCAGGAAGAGCCAGATCCAGGACTCCGCTGGATGATCGACCGTTGACAGCCAAGGCGATGCGCCGATCCAAAATGCTTGGCGACAATTCCCAATAGGGGTGTGTCGTTCTTTTTGGGTTCCCCTTTTTTGTGGCTTTGTGGGTCCTCTAGAAAAGGACTCCCAGTTCCCAAGTATTCACCAATTTGGACGGAATCGCCGCTGTCAAGTTGACGGGGAGCCTGGATCCGTCACGTTCACAGCGCCAGATTGGTTCGGACATGTACCAGGCAGGGCGCCAGCCGGA